GATCGCTCCCCTCAGAGGGGGTTCTGTGGGTGCAGCCTCTTGCATGTCCTGCTGGTGAGTCCTCCCTGACTGTGCATACCCTGATCGTTCAGTTATCTGATGATTCCAGCAGCAAAAGAGGTCAGAACCAGCACAGGGAAATCTCAGTCCAGAGAGCAGTTACTGTTTTAGCAGGTGAAGATGTGRTACATGCTGCTTTGACAATGACTAAGGAGTGAACAGCATTATGGTCAGTATTTATGGGTGTCATGGTTCCTCTGGATGCCTCCACAGTCTTTTGATTCTATATTCCCTTTACAAGGGTTGAATTAATGCCAAAGGCCACCATCCACCCTCCTCTATCTGCCAGACTTTGGGAGTGTTGGTGTGTGCTGGGTCAGGTGGGAAAAGCAATGCACAACTTTACCATCATGCTCTGAAAGCCCTGTGGCCTGTGTTCCCTCACAGCTGTGACAGTGGCCATAACATTTACATTTAGGGAAGAGAAAAAAATCAGTAGCTTCAAAAATTTGTCATGGAAGGAYTTGTAATAAGAATAGCTGTGTTGTTCCATGGTGTAGTTTCAGTCTCTGTTGTGTTGCAGACATTAACCTCAGTCCCTGACAGTAGGGAAGGCTCTGTTTTCCTCTCTTGGCCGTATCATCCCTCAGCCTTAACCCCTTAACTGTCCCCCAAGAATTAGCACTCAATAATATATTAACCCACAGCAATCAATAACCACAGTGCTGAGTGAAACACAAGGWGCAGCACAGYTGAGGAGTAGCTTTTCTCATTCTCTCAGAAGTTACACCCATCTTCATGGAGATCAGCTGTGTCTCAGCAGTGTTTCACTCATAGGAAAGGGAAAAAGACCCTGAGAGCAAACAAGTCCCATGAAACTTGCGGAGGCAATCTGAGTTAACTGTGTGTGCTCAGCTCTGGAGAGAAACTGGAGATGCTGTTACAGAACCATTACAAATTTTAGTATATTTGGATTGCCTCATSACCATCATCACTGGAACTCCATTCTCTGAATTGTTTCTCCAGAGGTGTGTGTAATCTGTTTTAAGTCTTCTTTATTATCCCATACTTGGTTTGGTATCAGAACCAAGAGCTCTAAGTGCCTTAAAGCTGTAAGAGCTGTTGGGAGCAGCTCATGTCTTTTCTCAGTTGTTTCTTAGCAGGGATCACTTCAGTGCTGAGTCAAATCCAGGCAGTGGAACTGAGCATCCTCCTGCCCACTGAAGCCACTGCCTCAGAGCTGCCTATCTGCATGGGGAGCATGAAATGAATCATGCTCAGGGCCAAAAGATCTCTAGTTGAAAAATCAGTATTTACAAGAATTTGGGTAATCTGTAAAAATGTTGCAATCAAGATTAGGTACAGTTATCCATTGTGCTGAAACATGCAACAGAATTATGTTCATGCTGGATTAAATACATTTATACTCATCTAGTCTTGGGAGCTCAGAATTTTAGAGTGACTTGGACTTGGAGATTGGCCATCCTGGGCAAAATTTCCACCCACTGAGAAGCTGCAGTCAAATACTCAAAGAATATCAGATTGCAGAAGCAGAAGGAAAGACAGCTTTCAAACACACTAATACAGTGGAACCGAGTATGAATAAAACATTTTATCAAAGCTAGAAAGCAGGATTGTAGGAAACTGGCTTTGGGCCATTTCTTTAATTTTAGAGAGTTTTGGTTTTTGCTTCCCAGTTTTATTGCATTGGATTTTGTCCATTTGCAATCTAATCATTACTGGCAGTGGGAACATCAGCAGCTAACATACCCCACTGAGCTGAGAAGATTCTGAAATGCTGAGACGGAAGAATATCAAAATGTCAGCATGCTGCAATTACAAGCAGCTGAAAGGAGAGTCAGCKATAATGACTTCTGTTCACCTTCAAGTTCCGAATTGGCAGGTATATAATTGTGTCTTTAACTTAGTTAGCAATCTGTTTTTTCCTGATAAAGTATAAGATAGCATTCTCTTTTTAAGCATTCTCATTTTCTCRTGTGATTAAAAGCTGGAGTTCTCACTGCCCAGGATGAACAGGCACATCCTGATTTACACATACAGTGAGAAGAACACTATATCATGGTTAATATCTCAGATAAGAGCAGAAATTCCAGGGGGAGCAACAGGGGTGTTCAGAGTCTGCAGTGTCAGGTGGAGGATGGAAGGAGAAGTCCTTGTTTAGCCTGGCAGAGGGGAATGGTGCAGGTGTGTTCTGACAGCTCACACTCCCTGTTAGSAGTAAACCTCCCCCCTGAGGGTCAGTGCTCATTGGAGGGGTTTGAGTTTGGAGCCTCTGTCTTCAGGGGAGTTTAGAAAGCTCAGGCAATATTGTCAAGAATGGATTAAGTAGAGCTGTTCTTGTCTTGGGCTGGGCTCAGAGTGCCTCAGCCCTCAGTGTCCCTGCATGCTCTGCTCTCAGTTGTTCATGTGCACTGTCCCAGCCTGGATCACCCTGCCATCACCACCGCCCTCCTTCTGCAGATTTTCCCTATTCACAGTATGACATTGGCTACTCCCAGCTATTTTTTTTCTCTTAAATAATAGTTGGTAGCTTGTCCCAAACAAAGATTACATCACCTCCTTTACAGTCCAGCATCGATCTATGCACCTGCACAAATCCCATCCTTATTCCTGTGAACAGGGTATATAAATTGTTCTATAAGTGCTCAGTAGTGCCTGTATTTCCAGAGTATTTTTAAAAGCTTATTCCTGCAAATACTCATATTCTCTTCCATGCTTTTATGTTGGTGGTGGACAGCTGGCTTTAAGCAAGAATTATACATCTCCAAGGTGGTAAATACCTCCTTGTGCACCCRCATTTTTTAAAACTATGGCTTGGGCACAGTGAATACCCTTTGTATTTAATGATTTATGGGCAATTACTGTACCACTCCTAATGACCTTGCAATCTGAGTGCTTTGTCAGTAATACCAGAGAAGAATCAGTCCAAAGTGAAAGAACCCCTAATCTGTCCATGGATGTAGGCACCGGTCATGCAGGTACTTTGGTTTGGTTTACCCTGCTTGTTTCTGCAGGCAAAGCCACAGCACCGACTTCTGTATTTTACCTTCTTGTCTGCTCCTTTATATACATTTTAATGAGTGTGTTTCACATTTAAATACATTCACTGATCTGAGCCTGCTTCTTATTTTGCATCTCCTCAGAACTATTAAGATCTACTGGCAGATTCACTATAGGTTTCCAAATTTCAAAGCTCCAGGATTAGTTGTTGGTATTTTAGCCTTGGAACTTGCTGTCTTCACAATTCCATAGTGATATCAGAATGTGTATGTTCAAACAAAATGTGATTCCTTCTTCTTTAGTTCTTAATTGGTTTTCTCTCTTTGTCTCCTTTTTATGGAGGTGTTTGGTTTTTTTTTAATCTGGTTTACCTTCTTCTGTCCAGATACATTACTGCTGTATTAGTGGCAATATGTACTTTTAAAGACAAGGCAAACAGATAAATATAACAGCATTTTGGCTGAAAAGCCAATGTCCCCATAATGCACTATTGATTCACTAAATAATTGTCTTGGTAAGCATCAGCAAGGCTGAACTTTAGCTGTTGTATATGTGAAAGTTTCTATGAAATCTCAACAGACCTGTGCCCAGAGGAAATTGTCTGTGCAATGGACAAATGAATGAGAGAGGAGAAGAATAATCTCTCCTTGGAAACTTTTCTTTGGGGTAAAAAAAAAGAGAGGCAGTTTATGCTGAAATGTTAAGAAGAAAAGAAAAAAAAAATCCACCTACTTCTCTGAAGAAGCAGGCTGCTTGGCACCTTTTCTGTCAGAGTGTATATTTTCTTTACTATATARAATGGTTCAAGTCTTCTTCATAATGCTCATCCTGCAGAGACCTGAAGTGAGGGTTTTCAGGCTTTTAGGTAACAAGAGCAGCCTAAAGGAGATCTGCCACTTCRTCCCTATCCGATCTCCAATCCACACACAGGTCGTCAAGTTAAAAGTTCAAGCTTGAGCTATCTTGCCTGGCAAAAACAGGCTGTTTTAAAGCTACAAACACTGTAGAGATGAGTTATCTACCAATTACAACACCTTATCAACAGCTTATCAGCTGCTAATCCAATTAGTCTGCACGGCTCASTGCTGTGTGGCTCCCTGAGCCCTCCCAGGCTCCAGGTAGGCAGTAATTCACATGCACTGCCAGAGATAAYGCTTACAGGAAAGACAAGCTCTAAAAATTCTCCTAAAGGAGGATGAGTAAATCACTGAGTGTCCCAAGAGTAATTGAGACGCTCTGATCAGTGGAGCAGGCAGTCTGTAATCACGTTTTATTGACAGCTCCTAAAGATCAGTCTTCCTTGGGAGCTGCCTGGAGTGAAACCCAACCGAGCGTGTCCAGGGGCCTGGAGCAGAGCACGGAATGACAGGACCAGAGCTGGCCCCGAATGAACCCCTCTGGGTCAGGACAGTGCTCTCAGCCTTGGAGAGGAGTGCTGTGCTTGGGTCTGTTCACTGCTGGGATTCACAGCGAGGGATTTCCCAGGGGCTGTGRCACTGTGTGTAGCTGAGCCACAACTCTCAGCTCATCTGGTGCTGTGCTCTTGGGAGGAGAAAGGCAGAGGTGAGTGATCTTGGAAGGAATGGAACACTTGCAGATACAATTTCTCTATAAATAAATWTTGGACTTAAACATTTGTTAAATTGGCATTTGATTACTTAAATAAGTTCATTTTTCAGAATCTCATGCTTCCTTGTGAACATGTGGAAAGCTGTGTTTCACCTCTGGGTTTGCTATCACAGCTTTATAAACACCTGAACCAAATTCTGGAACAAACAAGAACCTTAAAGACAGCCTGCTGCAAGGTACCACCCAACAACCCACAAAGACATTCCACTGTACCGCAATAAATGGGATCTCAAASACACCTGGCTAAGATGGATAGAAATTCTTTAAATGTGTTAAAACACAAAGWGATTTACTAGATGTGTGGTTTGTGTGTTGGTACCAATAACCATTKTGCATTCTCTTTCTTGCAGGAGGTGAAGTCACCAAGCCCAGGTTTGCTCAGTATTTCCATGGCAGCCTGGCCAGCCTGACAATCCGGCCAGGGAAAATTGAGAGTCAGAAAGTGATTTCCTGTTTGCAAGCCTGCAAGGAAGGTCTGGATATTAATTCTCTTGAGAGTCTTGGCCAAGGAATAAAGGTRAGGGATGAACTGACATCATCTTTGATAAAAATTTAGATCTGATTTATGAAGTGGAGAGCCCAAGTTAGAGTACACAGTACAAATGTWCTCCCAGAAGCAATGTAATTTCCCATAAAATCATGCAAAGAAAAAGCAGAACGGTAGAAGAGCTGTGACACTGCAAAGAAAAATGTTTCCATTATTGCAAAGCTAGATGATCAGAAAGTAAGGCACTGCTGGTATTTCAGAGTYGGTATGAATTGCCAGGTTGTGTTTTCATGTTTATTTTGTTACTTCGACAGAAATAGATGTAATTCCAAAGATTTATTGAATTTTGATCTGAAGTAGTTTTTAAGAAGTGGAATATGTGAGWCCTAATGCAATAGAGTTCTAAAATTCAGTGTGTTCAAAGAGGAAAACTTTATGGTACATGAAAATTGAACAATAAAAAACCTAAAGTCGAGAAATTAAATTTTTAGATTTGATTGTAAGTCATTATCCATCTTCATTATGCATATGACTACTGATAATGTAGAACTTTTTCTGAGATTGGAGAACAGCAGACAGGGAAATCCTGTTTCAGTTGACCCTGTGGCCAGATTGCTTTGCATTCATTCAGATAAATGCTATTKTTTGGGTACTTGTGTGGGATCATGGCTATTCCAATGCTGACAGGAACTGCATTGTCAGTTCTTTTCTACCGACACCATCAAGAGGTGACAGTGTTCTTGTGCTTAATGAAAGTGCACTGTGAAACTATTTCCTGGCACACAAATGGCACTTCTAAGGGAGCTGAGCTTCAAATCCAAACCAAGAGGTTTCTTTGGCTGCTGTGAAACTGCACAGGGGTGTTTTAGTGGGGTGCTTTTCAGTGGGAGGAGAATGGTGCTGTAACTTCATCTGGAACACGCAGGAATGCCATGCAGTACATTTTACTGGCTGAACCTTTTCGTTGCACAGACTGCCCTGAAATACACTCAAATGTCTGTCCAGGTGATGGTAGGTTGCAGTGGTGTAGTATAACTGACACGTCTTCTGAAAACAAGGGTAAAAATAAAAATTGAATGTGCCAAGGTAAGGAGAAATTTTGCTAGCTCTAACTTTAACRTATGAGGAAAGACCCCAAAGAATTCTTCTGTTATCATCCTGCCAATGACCTCATTAAGAATTTCCCATTGCTGCTTCTCACAGCAGCAGGACACAGGAATAGGTAAAGTCTGTTTTTAAAAGGCAGTGCATACAAGGAGCAGGTAGGGATTCTGGAACCCACATGTGCATGCCTGACAGTAAATCCTTTGCTGAGATTTTCCTCAAATTAAAGCATTTGGTCCATGGTGCTTAAAAGCAGTAATTCCTCCGCTGTTGTTGCACTCTGAAACCTGACAATATTTGAGTCACCCTAGTTTCAGGGGCTTGGGAAAATCCTGGTTCTACCTCCCACTGCTGCTCCATGTGTGGCTGGGCTGCCTTACTGCTGGCAGTGCAGAGGGAAAAAGGAACACAAGCGCTTGTTTTCTGCCTTTTCATGCAAACCTTCAAAACATCTTTATTTTCTGAAATACAGATGAGGCATAGTGGTTTTTGGTTTTTTGTTTTTTTTTCAAGCTATTGATGTTGCTTTTACTGCCTGAGCAAACCAACGGTGAGTGCAACAGCAGGAGGCAAAAATGAAAGGAGCAGCCAGAGCTAGATTGTGGAAGGGTTTCTTTAGGGACTGGCAGAGAGAAGCTCGGCTGAAAGCAGAACAGTTGCCTGACCTTGAACAGAAAATGAGAGAGAAAGGTGTTGTGGTGTCACGAATAAACACAGCTGATCCCAGACAGGCWCGTGTGACAGGTGCACGGGTGATGGGCTCTGTGGGGCTGTTGGCAGATTCAGAGCTGCAAACTGCTGCTGGAAGGTGTTTCTGGGCTCTTTGGGACCCTGGAGATTCACCCTTTAACCACCTAAGAAGGAGCAGTGCAGCAGCGCTGTCTGACATGATAGTGTTGGACGTTTTTGGGCTGCAGCCTAATTTTCAGGTATCTGTAACAGCTCTCTGAGACACTGTCTAAACTGTTGCTATTTTTAGCTTTTTTTTTAATGAGAAAGACAAAAATGGCTCAGACTGGGGCTTTCTCTGGTCCCTTTGGCAGCATTCCAGCTGTTTTGGCAGCTAAGCTATTAACTGGCTAGGCTTCAGTCTCCTTTTGTTAATTTTATTCTCTACTACTGCTAGCTTAAAGAGAGGAAAAAGAAGTTCATGCAGGCTGGGGCTCATTTTAGTACTCCTCTGTTAAAAAACACCCTTCAGCGTGCTGTGACCTCCCTGCACAAGCTTTAAACCCGGTCCTCCATGTTCTGTTTGACAGAGAACCCCCCTCTTCATCCTGCCCTTCACAGCCTGTTTGATGCTTTGCTTTTTAACCTTTCTGGCTGTAAGGAAGTGGAGAGAGCCGTTGTGTTTAGAGARCATCTTCACATGATCAATCTCCAGCTTTGGGGAGGGACTGCCCAGGAGAGAAGGGTGTATTTGTGTTCTGTGCTGGCAGCAGTAGGGCACAGCACCAAGGGGATACGCTGGGTTTCTCTGCAATGCAGATGGCTCACTGAACCAATTAACAGACTAAACATGGAATTAGGATTAATTACAATGAAGGTAAAAATCAGTCATTGACTGTGTCACAACAGTGGTGAAGTTTCTTGGTCATCAAGACTGATTTGTGTTGTGTGATGGAGCAGAGAGGGCTCGGGGCTGCGAGAGCAGGCACTGAGTGCAGGGTTTGCTGGCCCAGGTGAACAGCTCTGTGCAAGGAGCAGCTCCATCTTAAATCATGACACCCTTATTGATCAKGAGCCAGGATGGAGAGTCCCCGTTAGTGTGTCTGACAGTAATGAAGATGTAGGGGGCAAATGTTATAATTGGTTTGTTTGTTCATGTTGAAATACATCTCAGAAAGGTAGCCTGGGATAAAACYACACAGAAAGTAGCGAAAATATGCTCCTGCTAGGCTGGCTCAAGGCAATGCTTTTATGTGGGGAATGTGTTTAACCTAAAAAGATTGCATAGGAATAATAAGCATGGTGGTAAGTTAAGGTTTTGAGCTCCACAGAGTTCAAAACTAAATAGTATCAGAAATTGCTGAACAAACAGCATCAGCAAGGGTGATAAGATGGTAAAGGACAGCAAATCTGGATTAATTTACTACAAAATTAATTATAACACTAGTTATTCAGATGACTGATACATGTTTTAGGGAACATGGGGATTCAGCCAATGAGCTGCTAAGATTTTTTTTTCCTTAAATCCTTAAATTTTAAACTTATGTCTGTGYAACATTCCTTAAAAATGTAACATTTTGTACTCTGTACCTGGTCCCCTAAATAYTAATTATTTGCATTTCTCCTAGTATCACTTCAACCCTTCCCAGTCAGTCCTTGTCATGGAAGGAGATGACATTGAGAATATAAATCAAGCCCTYCGAAAGGTCTCATACATCAATTCCAGACAGTTCCCCACTGCAGGCGTAAGACGGCTCAAAGTCTCATCTAAAGTCCAGTAAGTTAYATCTCAGCAGAATTGAACAGATTAGGAACATTTTTAATGAATTACTTTTTTCTWTGGCCATGTAAAAAGAATAATTTTGGCTTAATTAAATTGATAAATCATACTGCTTTTTTATTGAACCAAAAGGATTAATTTAATTTACTTTTATGCCAATGTACATGGTTGTTTTTGTTTGATATTATCTTCTTAAGAAACCTTTCTTGTTAATGGGATGTACTTGCATTCTCTTTATAGTTTGGGTCATGCAGTCTGGACTGACCAGTACTTGTAATTATTTACTTTTAAACATTTATAGTTTCTTCTGAGATAGCCAGGGTCATGAGTTTTTGAAACCTATTGCATCTAATAGATACCATATCTGCARGAACATCATCTGTAGCTGTGYTTGAAGCAGCCTGTGTGTGTCTGTGCTGTCACTGAGGCACGGGTGGAGGGTGTCAGTCTGTCCTTCCCTTGCTGTGCAGCAATAGTGACAGAAGCTGGAGTTTGTCACGAGATTCACTCCAAAGCACAGTGCTCATTCTGATTAAAATGGAAGTGCAGGCACCTTCTGTGTCCTGCAGATCCTGGAGGGTGCCAGAAAGAGTTCATGATGGGGCAGCTTTAAATGGATAATTAGGTCTTTTTAATCACACATGGCAAGATAACCATGTTATAATCATTAGCTATCACTTTTTAATGTTAGGTTTACTAAAGTTAGTTGTTATCATCTAATTAACCTCTTAAACCATTCAGTACTTGGGTAAATGTCAGTTAAACGTTAAAATACTTTTCTGATAATGATCTTCTGAGGCAAGACTGAGTTTGTCCCTCAGTGTGAGTGACTGTGAAGGTGGGAAGGGTTGAGAGGGACTGAGCTGCTCCTCTCCCTGTCCACAGTGGCACAGGAATTTGTCCTGCAGTGTGGCAGTGTCCCAGGATGAATTAGAGTGGTCTGAGATCCCCCAGGTGGCTTTGGGGCAGTGCCACACACACCTCTGATGTGCAATTGTTACATGCAGTTAATGAATAATGTGTTTTTTCAGATGTTTTGGTGAAGATGTCTGCATTAGTATCCCAGATATAGATGCCTATGTAATGGTGTTTCAGGCCAATGAGCCCAAGATTACAATAACTGGCATGGACCACTTTGCCAGRCCAGCTGCACAGTTTGAAAATGAAAGAGGAGTTATTTTGTTYCCTGACATCAGAATTGTCAGCACGGTCACTAAAATGGAGCATCCAGTGGACTTAAGAGAACGTGATGGAGGTTTGTGTTTTTCTTTTAAATATTATTACTCATAACAAAAAACACAAAGGAAGTCACTTCACCCAGATTAATTAGGTCACAGTAATGCTGAACTCAAGAAATTCAATTCAATGCATTGAAAAATGTGTTAAATGGTGGCAGATCAGAATGTGCTTCCAAAAAAGCAGATTTTCTATGTGGTGTCCATTTAGTATACTTCAGAATAATTCCTTTCTGTTCAGCTTTTCATATTCTGTTAGGTAGGATATTTCATCAGAATGCTTTAACATAATTTTTTTTAATTGTGGTGATAAGAGTAAAAAGCAATAATTGACCAGTAGTTGAAGTTTTAGTCTGGTCTTATGTTTCCAGCTCTGATACTGCCTTGTGAGTGATTCTTGAGAAAGTAATCTTGTGCCTCRGTTTCTCACCTACAAAATGTAAATATGATCATTTAAAAAGATTTCTTTTCAATGATTACAGTTATTATTAATCCTGGGCAATGTGTGTATTGTGATTCAACACTAGGTGAATGTTCAAAGGTATAAATCAAGTTTAAAATCATTGTCCATAAAGGAATCTTCCTTTTGGATGTTTGTGTACCAGGCAAATGAAATGTCTTTTAGTTTGAGGAACCATTCTAAACACTGTTGAATTGGAATAAGCAGCAACTAAATGTACATTTCTGGAGAAGAGAAA